TTCTTCAGCAAGTGTATGCAATAGTCGTTGGACGGTCTGCTGCTGGTCTTACATACGATTGTAAGCGTCAAGCTATACTTAATGCATTAATACCACTTGCTACGTGCACATACTAAAACTTCAAATGATCTCATCTCAAACACTAAGTTGCTTAAGGTGTAAAGGGCTTTCAGATAATTTCCGAGACACATAGCACTACCGTTTAGACATTAAACTCACCAGAGACTTATAAAATAGATGCACGTGACTGCACTCAAAGCCGAAATTTTGCTTTTGTAATTCATTGTTGAGGCCCTTCCGGAACCTTTTGAGAAATTGCATTTTATCTTTGTTTAATTATAATCGCTAATCGATGGATGTACTGTGTTGGCTACCGACTTGCCGGCGTGCTTCTGCTAATTGTGTGCAGAAATAAACTTTCAGCCTGATTCAGCTATTGTTGCGCTCTGTGTGATCATGAAAATAATTCGCGGAGCTGTGACTTGGACGGAGTCGGTAAAAATGTATGTGTATATGTGTATGTATATGTATGTATTCGCGCTTTTCGGCAGTTCGCTACTACTCCGGTGGGAACGCGCACTCGTGCACAGCACACGACGAGACAGACTCGACTGAAAGCAGTCGAACGCTTTTACCCTTTGAGAGACCCTCTGACTGACTGGTGAATGTGCCGAACCCGCTACCGAGGCAACGATTAGAAACGCGGTCACTGCAAATAATACGACCAAGTAGTTGGCGCAGGCTTCGACTCTTTTATATACACGAAGCCGTACGCCATGCGATCGGCAAAATTAATATCACAAAAAAAATACGATTTTTTTTTTTTTAAGAACTGAAGCCTGCCATATACTCTTTTGAGTCGAGCCTAAAGTTAAGCGCATACATTTTAACAGAGATAATATATAATAATAATAGTTGAATACATAACTATGACAAATTTATTTAAATTTATTTTTTTATTATTTTTATTTTTAATACATTTATATTGTAATACTATACTTTTTAATATTTATTAATTATTATGTTTTATAAAACTAATTCTTAATCAGAAAAAAATCTGGCACTGTCAAGGTCGCGATAGAGAATTCTTCAGTCGGTAATGCCCGACGGCAATGGTAATACTTGTTTTAAATTTTTATTTCTTTAGCTTTATATATTTAGATCATACAGGCTCATTCAAAGCCTTAAAATATAGGATCGATAAACTCTTCTAAAAATGATTAATTTATTCAATAATTCTTTTGATTTTCTTTGTATGAAATTAAAAAATAAATAATACAAAAAATTCTTAAGTTTCTTTTAGATAATATAGTGAAAATATCCATTTTATGAACAAATTATAGGGCATAGCAATAAATTAAACTAAGTAATTTAATTAAAGGCATATCGTTAATGTGAAATACTCACACAAAGCCAATAACAAGAAACAAAAACAAAAATAAAAAAGTGAGTGTCAAATAGTCGCTGATCTGTTAAGTGCTCCATCCAAAAACATGATGCTGTGGGAATCATTTCGAATGATATGATATCAGTGTTATTGACAGCAGCAGCGTCGTTTGTCATCGCACCATATAAAACATACATCAGCTGCTGAGCTGACTTTATTGAACTTGAAGCCCTGGAGGTCGTTCAATTAGAGCTCTCAGCTCTCCCAATTATGTGTATGCTCAAATGCAGGCAAGCTATGGGAGTCGCAAATTCCAAAAAATGCGTTTAACCATAGAGTTTTTTTTTTTTTTTAAATTTAAATTTCTGTTTTTTTTTTTAGGTTTGACCCACATTCAGCTTATCAGCATTTAGGTGGGAAATTATTTTTTGCAAAGAATTGTAGATTTTGAATATTAAAATACTTAGCGAAGAATATTTAATACAAATATATTTTTTACTTATTATTATTTGTATACATAATATGCACACATTTCTTGTCTGCATTTTTCAGTAAATAATACAAAATATTACACCA